ATGCTAAAATAAATTTAGTGCATGCATCATCAACATTCTATCTAAAAATATTATTAGGTGCAATGGGAAAGAATGGAAATTTCCAAAACTTGATAAATTTAAGAAAATCAATGAAATCGATGAAAACGTTTTTTTTTTATATATCTAACACTATTATTAACTAAATTAAAATCATTTTACAAATATTGCTTCCACTCCATAAAAAAAAAGTGAAACATGAAACATAAACGTTTGGGAAATTGCAGAAAATCATATCCTATATGAAAAAAGGAGAAAAAATCAAAAATATTTTTAAGGGTCATAATGTTTCAACTCGATGATTTTTACCTTTAATGGGCAATATCGTTCTTTTAAAAAAATATCAAAACTATGCTCTTTTCGTTATCCAGAAATAGTGAGATATTTATTTTCAAGTCGGTTAATCCATTATTTGAGTTCGTGGTATGAGTATTATCATTTTATTAATTTCGAAATCGAATTGTTAATTTTTTCCATGAGAGAATCATCTGAATTCTTGAAATTACACTTGTCAGTTACAAAACGGTTATAACCTTTTGGTATTTCTACCTTAATTGTGTTTTCGCAAAAAAACACAATATGACGACTTGAAGACATAAAATATTACATTTAAAGTTGTATTTATTAAATACTGGTTTATATGACCGTAAAGTATCACTTCAGATATCTTAAAGACACTCTGCACTAAAAAGGCTCTATGCAAACTTAAATTGTGAAGTACTTTAAATTTATTCAATGTTATGTGTTTTTACAAATTATGTGACTTTAAAATTTAAGACTAAACAATTCAAGTTTCCTTATTTAATTCGAAAATTCATATAAATCTTATGTTTAGCGAGAAATACATGCTAAATTCGTCAACAACTATAATAATTAGGAGTTGAAATAGGCATGTATTCATACATGCAAGTTGTGACTAAACACACAATAACAACTATATAATACTCTTATATTTGTATCATGCAATATTCTTAATCAGGAAATTATACTAGCGCTCCGTACAATACATTGTCAACTATTTCCGGCAAGTCTACCTCATTATTGGGGATATAATTAATGACGCGTGGTTGTGATCTTGGAGGCATTGCTAAACTGTCATCAAGCTCGTAATCTGTTGAATGCGCCGGGATTACTCCATACGCCACGGAGTAAATAGTAAGTGATGCTTCCTTCTGTGTGTTTATGCTGTTACTTTGTGAAGGGATCTCACGCCTTGCACGGAACCTGAAAATGAATATGACAAATGATGATTGTGACAAAATGTGCAATACTTTGAATTTCATTTTATTTTGTTAACCTAATTTGGGCTCCTTTGTTATTATTTGATGAATTACTTAGGTGGTCCCCAAATTTATGTTCTAATTGATTGGTTTTCTAATTTACTAATTTATAGTTTCTTACACATGTTATTTGGTGATTTGATTGAACGCTGCATTGTCTCTCAATTCGTGTCAAGTTGGATATAGGTCGATTAAAAGTTAGTTATAAAATAGGTGTAGACTGTTAATCTATCATGTTATGAAAGAACGTAAACTACTAGAGCCTTATGAACAAATTACAATAGTACTTAGCGATAAAACAATTTAAATTATAATAGACACTTGTAGCAGATATAAGGTAGCAATAATAGCATTTATTTGATCAATTTCGTAAATATTGCTTTCATTTCAAGGTATATTCAAATCTAAAAAGTATGTATATCAAAATGTGAAACATTTCAAGTTTTGTGGTGGATAACCAATCGTGGTATCAGAACAAGGAAAGTCCAAATTCGAATCACATGTATGTTTGAAACTGCCTTCAAAGAGACACAATGACAATGGTACATCTGCTGATGTATATCTTGGATAAAATTTATAATTTTGTATTTGTATGAGTATCAACCTTAGTTCACATTTTTTGAAATTTTGATATTAAAATGTTTACTCAACTTTTTCTGGCAAATAATAGGCCTATTAAAATTACAAGTATTGCTAATAACGCAACACCTCCGCAAGCAGTAGCAACGATGATGTTCAAATGCCGACGTTTGTCTTCTCCAAGATAAGACGATGTGGTTAGATGTCTGGTTATTTGACCGACAGTCCTGCTGGTAGCGACAAACTTAGGTGGTGAGGTGTAGGGCATTTTATATAATTTTTTAGTATGAAATGAAGTCTTCAGAGGTGCTGATGTGAAACTCAAAGTACTTTTCGAAATATTTGACGATGCGACAGTACTGAAATAATAAGGAACCGGCAATGTCTTTTTTGAATCTATAAGTACAAATACAATGCTTGTTTTGACACATTTCCAACCAACATTTGTGATTAGATTTTTTGACGTATTGGTTAATTTTCCAATATTTAAAATACTCCAATTACGGCGATCATTCCTTTCGCTTGTTAGACATATATATAACATATGTAGATAATAGTTTAGGACCAACAATACTTTTAATAATCTGGATAGATTCAGTTGGAAAGAATATTTTTACTACAAAACTTAAAATAAAGTCATAAAGTTTGTCCATGTAGCTATTAAACATTAGTAGTGTATCAAAATTCCTAATTCAGACAGAAGTTCAAAGCATTGTTCTGAAAACCTTCTATTGAAAACTTTATTATAAATATTTCTATACTTCATCACTTCCTTAACAAAATTTCATTTTATCAACTTATTATTTATATTTACATATTGAGATTGGAAAAACTTTTGAATTAGGTATGAAAATGAACTTCTGCTAACAATAAGTTTATAAATCTCCACATTTCCAAAATGATGGTTATAAATATTCATTGAACAACTGATAAAAAATCTTAAAAATTCACCTGATTCACAGAGCAAATATCTGTAAGATAATTGAAATCCCTTTGGATAATCTTGAGTCCATGCGTCATTTCCCCATATTTTAGCAGAACCTCCATCGGATATGTAAATTACTTGCTGATCTACATTCTTCACGAGCAGTATTTTACATTCATCATACCGAATTGCAGTATCTTGAGATGCTCTGCATTTTTCGGTGTGAAGAATTACACATGATGTATTCGTTGATCTACAATCTGGCACGTCTGTTTCAAATATTTGTTGAATAAATCATAGATTTAGAATTTACATATTATATGTGTAAAATTGTATTGGACACGTTCAAATATTCCATGTATTTTTTTAATTTGCAATCCAGCCGTGCTAATTTTACTTCGCTCTATTTGCTTTTTATATATTTATTGAATACTAAATAAACTTATAAAATCACTTTTCTAATGGACTAATGGACCCCACCGATTTTGAATACATTTTATTTCATATGACGAATGACACTGTTACTTTTATATTTATTTAAATCACTCAGATTGCTTTTTGTCCATATAGTGGAGCATTGACTTTTTTTAAATCAATTCTTTATAAAGAGTTGTTATTTGCTTACGTTTATTGTCGCTGCCGATCTGTAATGAGGCAGAGCAATGTTTTGTTCGTTCGCCAAAATAAAACATCTTCCTGACAGTGACATTGAATAATATAAAATTGTCTTCTTCAACTTCAATTTTGAATATCCATTTGCATGACTGATTTTTAATTTCTGATCCTGGATAACTTGGTGATTGAATTGTACCGTTCCCATTGGTAATTAATTTTGGATCATTGTTGCATTGTGATATTGCCAGTCCAATCAAAACTGATGAATAAAAGTGTATTGGCATGTATGTGTATTGCATGTTGTCCTATTTAATGAATGAGATGCGGTATGATGAACTTAAAATAGTAATAGTATTTGGAAGATCCAAATTTTATTATCAAGTACTATCTGTGAGTATAACCTATACCCCAACAAAGATATAGAATCAATTTCTAAGACACTTATAGCTTTAATGTTTTGTGGTTCTCCCCCATACAGTTCACTGGTGCACACAGATATAGACAATTATGTATGCCACACCAAATTTTCCAAATCCAACTACATATTCCAGATAGTTGCTTTCTATCGCATCATCATTCGGAGTGAAAAACTACACTAACATCAGGACTAAATTCCTTAGCCTTAAAATCTTATTCCGTAAAATTGCTAATTAAATATTCGCCTCTATTTGTCGGAAAACACCCTATAACTATAATACGTATATATACTGACCCCCCCTATCCAAAACAAAAGCAAACTTAAACATGCAGTAGTCATGATTACATCAAAACTACTCCAGATTGAGTTTCATTGCAAATGTAAAATCTTCCGGTTGAATTTGATACTTTTGGTGAAATATAATCTTGTGGAATTTCTGTAACAATTATGTTCCTAATCCAAATATTTCACTGCTGCTGTTATTAGACTTACAAGAGGCAGAACTGCCGTATAAAACTTTTCGTATTTCGAAACGGATGACACCCTTTATTGTGGAGTCAATAAAAGTTCCCAGTTTGAGTTGATATAAAATGCGTTAATGCATAAGAGTTTACTCACTTTTACGTTTTCTATTGTCCCGCTTCCTATGCAAAGAGTAACCTTCAGCGCTGACATTATGCTTAGGGGATTCCATTGTAATTCATTCATTGGTTGAGAATATTAGAACTAAACCGCCAATTTTATAATTGCAATGCGTAAAATGGATTAATAATTTTTTTTTCAAGTGCTCGAAATTAATATTACATGATCAAATCTCATAAATATTTGCTTCTTCTGACTTGAATGGTTACATTATTACAGATTGCTATATTATAAAGTAGTGAGTAAAACATGTTTTACAAGATTGATTAATTCATTGGAAAGCGATCAACAATTTTTTTGTTTTCGTCTCAGCTACTGTTGTCATTACGGTCTACAACAACCTAGAAAAGTGCTGCAACTGAGTTAAAACAATTTTGCACAGAACTTTGTAGTGTCGAAAATGCTCCATACCCTCAATTAGAATGATGAACGATATTTTACTCTTCAAATGAACATAATTCTGAAACCAAAAATGACGAATCACATCAAAAGTATTATCACTTTGTCTACACCTTCCCTTTTTAGTTTATAATACAAATATAAAATACAAACGTTTGCAAGTTATTTCATTGTTGTATTTACAGTAATACGAGTAAATTAGTTTTGACTTACTTAAACTACATTGAAAAAGTTTTTTGACCTCTAAACATAGAACTTTAGGTGCTAGCGGTTGCTTGTTCCTTGTTGAGGAATGTTCACATGGCAATATACTAATTAACACTTCAAAGAATTTTATCATATGTCATTTACATATATTAGCAATGGGCTTTTTTCCAACAGAAACAATCACAATTGCGAAGACCAACCTCACAATCCATAAAATACACCTATTAGGTAAAAAATTATTCCCCAATAATGAAATTAGTAATGGTCAAAATCTATTAAATACCTATAAAACATAAAAATAACATGTTCAAAATTAGTTTTAAAAACCACATGCCACATTTGTAAAGTTAATTCAAATCAAATTATCCCTTTAATTTGTCGTTATTTTAATTTTCACACGAACTCAAAATTTTATACTTATGTTGCAAGTCTCAATAAAAATAAAATGTCCACTAGAATGTTAAAATGAAACTATGATTTGCAAGTTTAAATAGCACGTAAGAATATAATATTTCAATAATACATTCCTACTTAGGATCTAAAAAAGGGTTTACGAATTGGTTGATGGGTTAATGGTGTCTTCAAACTCTTTTAATTCTTTCCGAATAGTTTCGACTTCTTCAATACCAATTCCCTGAAAAAAGAGGTTATATTGTTTTTTTGCTTAACACGTTGTTGGACATATCTTTTTACTCCATAAATCACATTGAGTATTAGCAAAAAATGCCTAAAAATTGAAATTCCAAGTCAACAAAGTTTTTTAGATTTTTTTTAGTAACCGTATACACGCATTATGTTCAGATTATTTATCGCCATAAATGGTAAGAGATAGACTGTCGGGTCTTTATTTCTTTGCAGGTTAAAAATATCTATTTCAGATGACCGCCATCTCATCTAGGTTGTCTTAAACTAGGTGGAAAACGTAGAACCGCCCTTACCTAGCTGTATATTGTTGTACAAACACTTGCATGCAGTGAAAGGCAAGCGTACGAAAATTTTTAGACATACAAATACTATTTGGCGTGGCACAAACATTTTTGCATTTATTATTCCTAATCCCCACTTGGCTACGTCATCCAAAAACTACGTCAATACGACATCACAATCACGTCATAGAGCTTGCTGAGAAAAAAGCTACGATCGCCCGATATTGCATCTCCACCGAAGATAACGAACTCACTAACGCCAGCGATCTCTCTCATATAGAGATCGTTACGACGAGAAGACGAGAGAAATAGCTTGCTTGATTTCATGCGATCGTCTGCGTGTCTTGGACGACAATCCGTATACTTTGACGGGCCATATTTCTCAATGTGAAGTTGTAGTGACCTAATTTTTTGATGTCATAGTCAGGTAGGGGTAGGAAATGACATATGCGAAAATGATTATGCCATGGCAGCTAGAAGTATTTGACGGGGTTTAGGGAACTAGCCCCCCAAAAAGTGCAAAATATAATTATTTCCATTGAAACCCAAATGTATTGAGTTAAAATCATCACTTTCATTTCGTTGTTTGAATGAAATTGCTCAATATAAACATGCAATCATTATAATACCTCCTCGATGCGAAGACGTTCCATCATCTTGTTGCATTCCCCCATTACCTTGCTTTTTTGTTCGTCAGTAAGATTTGGCGAACAGGCCGCATTCTGTACTACTCTCTGAATACGTCTTTCTGTCGATTCCAACTTTGTCTCTAGTTTCTTTTTTGTTTTGATGAGTTCATCTTCATCCTCATGCTTTTCTGCTTCCATCACCTAATACAAATTTTTTTTATTATTCAAATTTTTTCGACGGCATAGTAGGACATAAAAGGCATTGCGGAAAATTACAATTATTACATGTTATTCAACTATTGTGTGTTTTTATGTTTATTGATTAATTAAACATAAAAATTTATTTTTTTCCCAAGATTAAACAAAGTACAAAAGTTCTAATGCATAATATGAAACATAAAAAACGTTGTACCATTCTTGCGGTTTCTTGTTTGCTTGCTCTCACATCTCCACTAACCACGACACTGCTTATTTTGCCAGTTGTGTTGTCGCGCGCTGTTACGGTAAGTATTCCGTCCGAGTCGATATGAAACTCAACAGTAAATTTTCCTTCACCCTTTGGAGCTGGCGGAATATCAGTGAGCTTGAATTTACCGATTCGAATATTCTTCTTTGCTTCCGCTCGCTCTCCCTCGTATATCTGTAGAATTTGAACCAAATTCAGATGTCAGTTACAAGTTAAGTGTGAAAAATGAAATGATTCTATTACTTGGACATTCAGTAAATCTTGAATGTATATTTTAATGTATACGAAGCTTGAACAATGAAAGACGGTATTGAAATAACACATTACCTTAAAATTAGACCAATTATGTAAAATTTAAGTAATCTGAATGAACTCTAGGTTTTAATTACATATCACGGAAACTGCTAGTTTACCTACTGTTAATTTACCACACATTTGGTATATGACAAGGTTCCATTACATTTGAACCCACGTACATTCGAACCCATGACAATTGCACCTGCATACTATTGAACCTATGGAAATATTTTTGGTTTTACGGATATTTGAACCCATACTAACTCTAACCCATGGGTTTCGGCACCCGCATATAGATTGAACCGGCGGATATACATATAGGTTCAAATGTACGGTCACCGTATGACAAGACCATAATATAACAACTTATAAAATATGTACATTTACAATTGGCCGTACATACTCAATTACCTTGACATTTATGTATTTCTGATTTTCCTCTGATGTGCAAAAAGTATGAAATTCCGTCGTAGGAATAACAGTATTTCGAGGAACAATAACCTTCATCGTACCACCAGCCAACGCGACACCAAGTGATAACGGAGTAACATCTTTCAGAACGATGGATTTTATCTAAAATAATTGTTTATTTACATTAAACCTTGGTTGACATTTAAAGATAGGGAGAAAGCGAGAAATCCAAACAAAGACTACTACATAACTCATGCATATCATTTCACAAATTTTGTTCGGTCCGACCAACACGAAATAATACAATCAGGCAATTATGTAATCAAGTGAATATCAATCATTTCATTTTGGGTGGAGGGCTCCAATTTGCAAAAGTGATATGTTACATATTTAAATGTGAGAAAATGTCACCAAAACTTTGTATTATTTGTTTTAATAGTTTTGATTACTTCTGTAACGACATGTAAGACTTCATATACGGCTTATTCATTATTTTCAAGACATAAAATCGTCAAACGACTAAGATTCTGAAAATTTAATTTTTTTTTAGGTTTTACATAATATAGCAAAGTAATAGAACACTCACTCCTACAGATTTATCATCTGTTAGATGTGCAGCATAGGCTGCAGCACCCAGGGCTACTGCTTCATCTGGATTTATTGCTTTGCTAGGATCTTTTGCGAAATATTCAAAAATCAGTTGACGAATCTTGGGAATGCGACTTGATCCACCAATAAGTGCTACCTCGTCAATCTTACAAAAAAAAAACATTGAAAATATTTTATAATCGCTTTTTAAATCAAACTAAAGTTCCACATACAGACTCAGAATTTGAATTGACAAAGGATCATGTATCTAGTAAACTAAACTAGCAAAATGCAATGATATGGATACAGCATTTGCTATACATATCCAATATTGACTAATAAATGACGATCTGAACTATCCTACCTCAGATTTATCCATATTAGCTTTTGCAAGAACATTCTCTACAGTTTTTAAAGTCTCATCAAATAACTCGATATTCAGTTCTTCAAATTTAGTCCGAGTAACTTGTCTGAAGAAATCCTTGTGTTTGAAAAGACTGTCAATGCTCAGTCTAAAATTCAAGGTATGATAGAGAAATATTTTTTAATTTCTTTTTATGGGAAGTTTATTAAACGGCTCAATCATAAATCATAGTAAGTGCTTACAGATATAAAGTATAAAATATAGTGTATGTAGGATTTTTGAGTACAAAATTACTGATCATATAAGATCATTTATAAAAAAAAATTTGCTCACGGGGATTTCTGAGCGTGTGATAAATTCTTTTTTACAATTTCACATTTTTCTCTCAGTTTGTCCATTGCTTTCTTGTCTGTGGTCATGTCTAGATCGTTTTCTTTGTTGAATTCTTCAGCAAAATAACTGACCAAACGATCGGTCAGATCTTCGCCTACAAGATGGTAATAAAACATTATATTTGATTTTACTGTAAATTATCCGGTTAGTACTGATTATTTCAACTTCATTAATTATTAAAATATAGAAGAACAAACTTGACAGTAAAGAGATATTAGAAAATTAAATAGAAACAATAATGAGAATTAGCACAAGAAAAAATGAGTGTGGCAATAAAAGAAAATAGATAAGATATTTGAAAATAAAGCCATTAAATTATGTTTAAGTACCTCCAAGATGTGTATTTCCGCCGGTAGATTTAACTTCATATATGTTGTTCTTTATTGACAGAACCGTAACGTCGAAGGTTCCCCCACCGAAGTCAAACACCAGTATGTTTTGAATGTCGACTCGCTAAATGATAATAGAATTTATTGCCACTAACTGTAGTTTTTGTTTCGCTGTAATTGCATATCAATTGGTCTTGGACACGACAGTTTGTACATAGCTTTGAGACAATAAAACGGAAAATATTTGGAGTTCCCCAAATATTTATTATTAAAAAAATATTCTTTTATTGTGTAAGACTACTACATCTATATCATCTTAGAGGGGAACCTTTAATACTAAATTGACAACGGTATTAGTGTTATATTACCTTAATGAATTCGTAAAATTTAAAAATTTGTTTAATATCAAACTCAACATATAAATTATGGGTATTTAAAGGCTCAGCTTCTACCATTGGAATATTGCACAAAACATTGTGCATTAGGAGAACAAACTACTATTCAAGTGCATGAATATGTGTCATTTGAAACTATTCACAGTTAGAGTATTATTGGGAGGCGTTGTGAAACTCAAAAAATCGTTATTTTAAATCAAAACCATGGCTCCAGAACTATAGGCTTATCTTGGTCATTGAAATTGCTGTATTCGAGCAAAAGGATTCTCAAATTACAATGACTTTGGCTGGAAAAGTATCGATTTATTCACATTACAATACTTGCCTGGTTTTTCATCCCATATGCGATTGCAGCTGCAGATGGTTCGTTTAGTAAGGCAATGACTTCAAGGCCTGCTAGTTTGCCAGCTTCAAGTGTCGCTTTACGCTGGGCAGAATTGAACTGAGCTGGAACCGTCACGACAGCTTTTTCAATTTTCTCTCCTAAGTAGTCCTCGGCGGATTTTTTCATTTCTTCAAGAAGATAGGCGCTCAGTTCTTCAGGAGAAAAATATTCCTTCTCGCCATCCCAATACTGACAAAACAAATGCGGGATCAATATTAATTAGCATGGGATTAGTAAATTCAACGCACGATAATTTTTTCCAATCATAGTGGAACAAACATACTTGTGGCTTCTTATATGCACATTCGTGTTTGGATCTATGGCGTCTAACTCTTCATATATATAAAATAGTGACGGCGAGCTTCTTTTTGACTTAATTTTATATCTCGCACGACGACACTTAGTAAAAATGGAGACATTTTTTATTCCCTTTAAAACAGAGATGCGAAGTAAGAAAAGTTCAAATTGACCTGTCTCGCGCCACTACAGGTTGTCGACTCCGACACTGACTCCGAGTTTAGAAAATTGCTACTCCAACTCTCGACTCCAGGTTGATGTAAACTTTTATTTTAACTGTCGTTTGTCGGATTTTTAATTTTTTTTTTGGTATTGAAATAATTGCAATGATAACAGGTTTTCAAAATGAGTCACAATTTATTATTGATAAAATTTACTTTTCATTTGAACCTACCTACATGTGTTTTATATCTTTTTGTGGTATTTTGGAATATTACCTTATACCAGGTTGTACTGTAGCCCACTTCATTCCTATGTCAAAGATAATTCTGAATTTGTATATATATAGGTTCATTAAAATTAATGGCCATACATTGTTTAATTTTATTTGTAAAATATCAAACTTCACCGCAACCAACAGCTCAAAATTAACAGGATGTATCATGTCACTACTCGCCTCTATATTTGGTTTGTTGTCAATATTGATGACGTCAAAGCTCCAACGTTTCATGTCTTCTTGCAATACAATGTCATGAAATCTGCATCCGATCATGCGTTTGATATCTTCAAATGAAAAATGGTAATACAACTAGATAAATAACTACATATTGCAGAAATGGGAATAAATTGACTGTTTTGCCTGGTATGAATTGTTACACTATAGTCTGCGTAAGAATAGAAACATCGCTAAACAGCGCAAAATTACATCGCGAAACGAGGAAATTTAATATTCAAATTATTGAAACTTGTGGTGTGCTCCCATTATGTTTTTGCCCGAAGATAAGCATAAAATGTTTAATCCAAACTTAGTGTGTATAAGCGAGTATGTTGTATTATAGTCCGGCAAAAAAGGGGGCCTTTTTGGCCCAAGTTTGATTTCAGACATAAAGTTTTTTTTATTTGTGATTATTCATCTTGGGGTCATTGCCCATCATTTCTACATGGGTGTGGAGTTTGCCTTGAGCAATTTTTTTTACGGCTCGATATTTGTATTAGTGTTTTCTCGTCAAACCTGTGCATCATAATGACGCACAACCTGAACCATAACCTGTTACAATACTATGTTCAGGTTGTGCGCACTCTTGGTGCACAAACTACGCAAGCACCAAATTTACTAGGAAATAAAATCAATAACTTTTAGGTATTTATTGAGATATTTGTATTAGTGTTTTTCGTCAAACATGTGCATCATAATGACGCACAACTTGAACCATAACCTGTTACAATACTATGTTCAAGTTGTGCGCAATCTTGGTGCACAAACTACGCAAGCACCAAATTTACTAGGAAATAAAACCAATAGCTTTTAGGTATTTGTTGAGCACAACTTTGTTCGCGACCCATATACAGTATATATGGAAATACTGTCGAAACATATGCGTAAAATAAAGAGTACTATTTCAAAATACCCGTTTTTGTTGCAATTAACAACACAAGCCTGCTAATGCAGTCGCCATTGGTTCAAGTGAATATACACCCGGTGGAGAACAGTCAATTATTTGTTAGCGAGAATTGTTATGCAGCGGGATGATCACGACGACGCAGTAAAAGATAATGATATCACGAGAACAAGAATGAGAAAATTGCTACATTTTATAGTATATCCCTGGAAATGAATGTAGTTCATTCTTATGTTCCATGCCAATGCTTTTCAAACTGCCAAAGACTCTCAAAACTTTTGCTTCTTCTCTTCTATAAAATTCCCCTTTTTAAGAAAACCTGTCATAAACTAAAAGAGGCGACCGTACTTCTCTTGCCTGTTGTCATGCTGTCCCTGGAATTCTGCTACAACAAAAATTTCACGAAAACGAATTTTCAAATTTTATGGTTTTATTAATATTTTCAACAATGAATGATATACGGGTGGTAAAATGCCAAGTTATTCCAACAACATGATCATGTTTTGCAATTTACAACCAATATTTTGTATGTAACTTTGTTTGACAGAGCCCCAAGAGCTCTAACTACAAATATCAAAAATGTGAGGCCAAAAAAGTCACACTACAACATTGCCAAATGTGCTGTATTTACGATAGATAACAGGTTTACCAAAGAGAATTACATGAAAAATGTAAAAATAAAGATCAATTCAGCAATATCTACTTGGTGATATGCATATGTTGATGATTTTATGTGTTTGTTTCGGAAGTTTAATAATAGAATTAATTGGGGTTGTTAGGGATGTTTTAAAAAAAGGTTGCATGGAAAAAAGGTTTTCACAAAATGTCAAGGTTTGATAGTAGTAGAGAAGTAGAAAAAATACTCCGATGTTTTTTTTTCATTTGATAACCACGCCACAGAACTTCCCCGATAAGTAAGAGGCAGAAATGCCAAGATGGGATTTCATCGAATTGCAAACCGATATTAGCAATTCTTATATATATTCGTGCATTCCCACCTGAACAGCGTGGAAAAGATTATACCCATCTACACACTTTAAGAGCTATGTCAGATGAGCGTCATATTATCGAATATCAGTGAAGGAATAGTACAATGGGAAAACACATATAAGGCGGAACTTTCGGTAGTATGCAATTAAATAATCTTATTGTAGAATATATATTTAAAACATTTCGTCACGCCAACTGCAGTCCAAACCTTTTGTCTCTGGCTGAGCTTAGATACCAATTAGCACTCATATAAACTGGTAAGACTGTAAGAGGCACGCGATGGAGCTGATACTAAGAGTATCCATTCCCCAGCTGTCATTTGAGTGGGTACTGCTGTTTTCATTGCAGATGTTACTGATCTTTTTGTATAAAGATTCACTGGCATCACAAATTTAAGGATGTTTGAAACCAACCAACCATATTACAAAACTTACTTTCAACACGCGGTTTGAATGAATGAAAAAGCTGAAACTAGTATTCTTTAGAACAGCATACAAATTCTATGGAATGAAACCATACACAAAATTCGTCAAAAACCTATAGCTCAATAATCAAGTGGAATTTGATGCATCAGTGCAAAAACGTACAACCGAAGCACGCAGGAAAATGTGTGTGATGTACTAGTATTCAAAACGTTTGACTCAACTGTGTTGGCATAACAGGTGTACATCTCGGTTTCGCATATGCATACCTTCTATCTCCACAAGGATATATTAATTTTGCCAAATTCAATGCAGCACTGAAAGGTTGCGGTTCTCCCAAAAGAAAACACGTTACACATCTTTAGATACCAGTGGATGGTGTTACATGGCCTTGTTCGGAGTGAAAGACGAGGCCAAATATTCCAATCCAATTCAATTAATAAAATATTTCCCAAGTCCCTAAGCTTAAACTAGGAAAACGAAATGCGCGCGGCAACGCAAATGTAGTTTGAAGAGAGCAATAAAAAGTGGCTAGATGCTGTCGATGGATCTTGGCTTGTATTATTGAAATAAACTACCATTTATTCAACTAAAATTGAATTTCTGACATTGTAAAAAGATTCAATGTTACTATGTATGCAAAACTAAATCATGTAGTTATGAAATAATTATTTTTAACAAAAAGGCGCTCCTGAAGTATTCGTACCAAGACGACGCACAACCTGAAAATTGTATGCTTATCAGGTTAGGCTTCAGGATGTGCGTCATCTTGAACCGAATACTTTAGATTCACTTAAAAAAATTGCATATACACTCAACATATATAGTCTACACCCACCTGGGTATCATTATATATGTCATATACATTACATTACCCACATTTTTCGGTTTGGGATAGGCCGACGCAATTCAATTAATAATATTCGAGGTGCATGGTGAGAATAGAGTTTAAACCATTAATCTTCAACATGGGAATCTTGCAACAAATTTGGTTCTAAAATGGTTTGTAACTTTTGTTATAATGCACTTAAAAAACTCACCGTAAATTGTATTATCAAGATTCATCGATGCTTGGTGTTTTGCGGCGTCTCCAACAATCACGCTGTTATCTTCTTCTCTATCAAATGCAACATATGATGGCGTCGTTCGGTTCCCTGCTTTATTGGCAATTACTTCAAGCTTAATTTAAACAAAGGTAATATTAATAAGTGTAAAATTATAACACTTGTTAAAATCTTAAACGCAAATTTATACACATAGTTCACGGTCTTATAATGCTCATTTGAATGTTATTGAATAGTTATGAACACTTGAAATTCTGTTTGTGTGTATGATTGTACTCAAATGTTTAATAGAAAAAATAAACTATGCTCTGAAAAATAAAATAAAATATGTTTTCTCGAGAATATGATCCGAAGGACTTCTGTTTTTGGGGTCACCCTATATATAGTAAGTTATCCACTAGGATTCTTCCGTTGCGTATGTATTGAAGCAATGTAAAGTTGGCGGACTATAAAAAAGAACGCCAATTCAAGTTGATAACAAACAAAAAAAGCAGCTTCAAAGTTCTGTGAATGTATGGATATGAGCGGCCACTGAAAATGTTTTTTATAAAAGGTATAGCTTTTTACAACACGAATAAATATACATACCCAAATAATCAGGCGGAATTGGAACTATTTATTGTTTCGAAGCAAACTATGATATAAACTAAGATCAACTGCCAACTTTTAACAGATATATTTATAAATAAAAAAAGAATTTAACATTAAGTGACATAAATTTTGATTATAAAAATGCATAAGTCACGCGAATGGAAATAATTTAAAGTTTTGAATCATTCGACATCTTTATTCCTGGTGCATATATACATACCTGCCCATCTCTTACTGCGGCTACACAACAGTACGTGGTTCCGAGGTCTATCCCAATTGCCTTCATTTTTCTTAGAAGTCCGAGATTACTCGGAAAAGTGAAAATATTATCACAAAGTATAGGAATCCTAAATATTAAAAAAAGAAGGAGAAATTTACTTGCATTGAAGTGTCACAATGACAGCCTATTTGTGTCTAATGTGTAAAATTACCGAACAATTATTTCAAAGGAGTACGTGAGTACAGTGTTTTTATCAGTGGTTCTTAACCTTTTTTGCATATTTTACCCCTTAAGCAAACAATCGAGCCATTGATGATCTATTATTAAAGAAATCGTCAAGCAAAGTATAAATAGCTCTAACTACGAGACTACTCAACTCTCCCTTCTTTTCCCCATCCTCTCCTCTGCAATGAGCTTCAGTTCGACGTGAAAAAATGGGAGAGGGTTGAGGTAGGAAAGTGGCAGGGGGAAGAAAAGTGATTGTGGATGAAAGATAGAGAGGGAAAATAGATTAGTGGGAGTGTCTAGAGTGGGTAGCAAAGTGATTGAGGAAGGAATAAGTGGAGGGGGGGGGGTCAGAAAGCTGCAGGAGTTCACATTCAGGAAAACAAAAAACAATCAAATTTAATGCGACGCGTGTCAGTCAGATATGACATTGAAGCGGTTCCGTGCTTTAGATTTGATAGTAAGCAACGCAAAAAATCCGCACTCGCACATGTAAGACGTAGGAAAGGGAACAAGAAGCTTCATGGTATCAATACCCAGCCTTGGATAAGAACGTTGCATTTCAACTCAAAACTCCTCGAGGATGTAAGTGCGAAATTGATCTCTAGCAAAAGCATCGTTTGTTGATTTTATAAATCCTTCTTGATTATTCCAGGAACATCCTTCACTACACATACAAAAGATTTATTGCTAGTCTCATCAAAATGCTGGAAGTGTGGATTTTGGGGGTACATCGTTCGAATTCCTTCTACAGCGTTTTTAGATGGCAGATGAGATTTTAAGTCCTGCTTTACAAGTTGTTTCGAAATATTCTCTATTTGCATCAGTCAAGAGGGAAAATGATGTAAAATTATCGTTTATTACTCGTTGGCTAGGTGTTGTTTTGGTTTTGCGGGCTTAATTGTACTGTTTGAAAAGGTTTTATTGCACAAAACAAACTGGGAATATGACGACCATCCCGAATAAGATACGTAAACCCAAAATCTAAATAATCGTTCTGGCACTTTCTTTTTTTTCGTGACATTCTGTTCCAACAAATTCAAGTGTGCTACTTTGGTGACTAAATTTAATGTAATGGTTGAAATAACAAAGAAGTCGGCGTATTTAGGTTTTGTCTTCGAATTCGGTTAAATATAGGCCTACTGATAATAATAGGCTAATACTGATTTCTCACAACTTTCCAATAACACAACGCTCCTTGCAACAAAACAAGCAAACAGATGTGATTTTTGTTTACCATAGCTTGCTTTAATGCGATTAACCTCAATTCAATTTCAGCAATAAATACAGTAAAGAGTTGCAATGTAATATTTGTTCGTTTGGCGAAATCAATACTTCCAGAACGATCCATAATCTGTGACTGCTGCATTGTAATAACTGTATACGCTGTTAGCTGTATATACTATGACAATGTCAATTAATCAGAAGTCTAAAATAACAAAGCATATTGATAATGTCAATATCAAACAAGACTGAATATTATAATTCTACAAGCAACAGCGCTTTATGCAAAACTGCAACTTTTCATATGTTACCATGCTTTAACATTTATATCATACGTATATTGCGAAGACGTTCTAACCCTTAAAAACTTGCCATACAGTTTGGTCCAAAACGATACGGCTGACTTATCGTCATATACTGTGACAATGTTCACTTCCTCAATGGTTGCGTAGGATTGAATAATATAATATCCACAACGAATACAGAGCTTAAATTTCTCCATTGTGTACTGCCGTGATAAAACGTGTCACATATTTAACAGCGGTAAAGCGGTCTCGTTAGCCAGAATTAAATCCACGCATATACACCAAAGTATATTGTTCAAAAGTACAGGGTGTTCAAAAAGTTCCAACCGATTTCATAGCAATACCAATTGCAAATTTATATAAATTTTGTTGTATGATAATTGGGGACTACAGAATTCAACATCTATAACTTCCAATTAGAAACAGGTTGACGATAAATCTTCTTTAAAATTAAAAAAAAAAAATTGATAATAAAGATTTTATAACCAGGCGAAACTTTTCGGACACCCTGTATAACTCAACCCGGGGTTCGCGAACCCTCAGGGGTTCACAAGAAGATTTCCATGGGTACTTGGATGGAAGTTGAATTTTCATGTGTTGCTACTTTTTACTATCAAAGGAAAATGCGTGCCGATTAAAATTCAGCGTATATTATTTTTCTGATCTTTGGTTGTTGTGACCCAACAATGTGAAAACCACAGCTTTGCAGCCAAACTGTGAAATCTCATAAGTCAATGTGCTGTTTGCTGCTCGAATTGAGAAACCTATTCGCAATAAACAGAGACAGTCTTCACACTAATGATCAGTATAAATGAAATGAATACTTTTGTCAATATCCTTAAAACAGTGGTTTACAACCTTTCAGGCGGACGGATAAAATTAAATAAAATGTACTCGCGGACCGGCAAAAAATCGAAATGAGTGGAACAGAAAATAATAACATATATTTGCGCATTGTAATGCAATGTTGGACACTCACTATGTTTCTTGATAAAAAAGTCTGAACGCTTGAAAATATTTCACATGAATAAAAACAAATAATGCGCATTCCAAAAATTGAAAAGAGTGGATCAAACTTTGTCCAGAAGAAGACTTATTCTCCTCGGTATTGTTAATAAATATCAAAATGCTTTGTTGGCCAACTGATCTTATATTAATCCCTCTGCAGTTAATTAATTACATTAAGATGACAAAGTAGTCGGTAACTTGGCACCGGGATCACAATCTTGCTGTGCATCACCTGGAAAAGATCTCTGCGGCCCATGCTTTCATTGCACGTCTCATGACCACCTGCAGGGTCGCAACAAGCGAATGAGACGACCGAAAAATAACAAAATTTCTCGCGGACCGACAAAAAAGCTTCCGGTGCCATCGTCGGTTCGCGGACCAGCGGTGGAGAACCACTGTTTTGAACCACAGTTTAAAAATTGTTAGTAAACATGTTACAACTTTGTTTGGTGTCTGATTACTGGGGGTTCGGGTTGATTATTTCATGACTCCGGGGTACTTAGCAGGAGAAAGGTCGAAAACCCTTGATGCAGAGGATAAATAAATTGCACTGCAGCCGCAAGGTGACAATGAAAATTTCTTACAACGATGAAGACACCGTCTACTTCATTGCTTGCCGTTGCGTTATATCATATTCCTGTTATGTTCCCTCAAAAATATGCTGATCAAATAAATGCAAATACCGTAAAATCACGGCGTAAAATTTAACGGTTTGGAAGAACAATTATAAGTGCTCCAAAATCAAATGTTTGACTTGCTTAGAAAAGCTAAACAACAAAAATAAAGGTCTTTTTATATTTTGGTAAATAAAAACTCATGAAAAAAACTTTTTCAACGTGTACATTCTTGCTCATCGATTTTGAAATCTGTTGACGTCGAAAGGTTCACGAGTATGGTGGCCATTCGTTGTCACTCGTAAAATTGAAAAAAAAAATAAAATAAAAAACTGAAAATAAAAAGTTGTGAAAAAACATAAAAATAAATGAAAAAAAAATGAAAAAAAAATTAAAAATAAGAACGAAAAAAAAACGGAAAAAAAAGTAAAAAAAAAAATTAAAAAAAAAATAAAATAAAAATTGAATAAAAAGAAAACAAAGAAGTTGACAACGATGGTCCGCCTCGTGGCCCATCGTTGTCACGCGTTTTTATTTTTAGAAAATTTGCTTCTGCTTGGGACCAACGTTGTCACCTACGCGCACAAATGTGTTCCCTAGGTTTCCAACTCACTACTGATTTTCTTGAGCAATATTCAATATGAAAATGTTCTATAAATTCTCCATGCTACAAGTTCAACAAGAAGTAATATATTTATAATAATGATAAGAGAATATAGAATTGAATACGAAAATTCGGAAAATTTGTTTTTACGTGTAGAAGGTAATTTAATTGGAGAATGCTGCTTAACTACTCAGTTGTCTGGACACTCGCGATGCCGGTACCGTACCGTCTTACCAAATACCGATAGTCGGTTATAGTCGCGCTTTGCTTCTGACCGTACCGGTAGCCATGCAATCACTCATGAAAGAATGGGAGATACGGATAGTCTCGTAGAATATAGACTACTGAAACACTCTCTGCGCCTGCCTCATACCGTACAGCCGTAACGTAACGTACAGCCGGAAAATCTTTGCGGACTACTGTGCGTTAATTGTAAACCCGAACTCTGAAGCAATAAAATCAAAAACCGCAGAATTTCACCGAAGTCAGTTTATAATCCACATTTATAAATTTCAATGAGAACCATAGGGAGGGTGCTCTATCATTGAGACATCGAGAACTGCTCGCTCTGGCAAACTCGGAATATATTATGCGATCACTGGCGACGATTCGCTGAGAAAAATTATAGATAGGAATTGACAGCTAAAAAATAAATTCATTCTGCTCATTATCTGTCGTATCGGTTTTGATTGTCCTTATCGCCTTCGTAAAATTAACAAATTAACAGTATCTTTATGGCTGGCTCCTGGATTCGCTGTCTTTTCTCTGTTTGTATTTTTCTATCCTGTCTATGTTATTTTTGCCTCAAAACAAAACCTCTGAAATGTTGTTACTGCGTATCCGTTGAAATCTGATAGAATTCCTAATGGTATTTCATATTCACCTAATGATATTTCATATTCATTAGATGGTAGTTCATATTCACCTAATGGTATTTCATAGTCACTTAAAGGTATTTCATATTCAAATTAACTCATCCGCGTGGAAAATTTTAAAATGTTACGTTTTTGTTATTTGTATTGGTGATTCGAATTTTTTCAAATTACCAACTAAAAATATGTGCAACTCATGTTTGATTCGGCGCGTTTGCTGTTCGAATATTTTAACCAGCCATAATCGCTAATTATTGACTCACTTAATTTTATGTG